GTATCCCCAGGGCCCCAGCTCCCAAAGGTATTGTGAATAGAGCATATTTGCAAGTCTGGATTATTTGAGCAACTGAAAGAATCTCATCTTTAACCAGAGGGTACTCTGAATGTACTTAGCCCTGTATTTTAGGGAGAGTAAAAAGACAGTATAATCACCTGGCTGGCTTTTTCTCTCTTGGTGTCCTGAAATATTTTGTTCCTTGTGGTCAAGTATGCCTTGGTGCTTCTCAAACTATTGTGTGTCAGACCATTTAAAAAAATTTTCCAATTCATTGTGGATAAATAATTGTCAAAGTATAATAAAAATTGGTTAGCTAGAAAATGAAATGGAAAAAAAAGATGCACAAAATACAAATACAAATATTTTGTTATCAGCCAATAGGCATAAAGTTACTCTGTCAATTACTATAGAAGTGTCTAAATGCTTATTCCCACTTCCTGTACTTATCATGGGCTAGGAACAGGAAATGACGGGACACATGTCAAGAAACGCTGGTCTAGCACAGAGAAGAAACACCTCTCATTTTAGAAGATCTTAAAACACCCATCAACAACAACAAAAAAGATTACTGTATCTTGCAGAGGATGTAATGCGCTATTATATAATTTGTAATTGCTGTACATATTCACCACTAACTGTACATGGGAAGCTGCCATATTTATATTTCCAGTCCTTAATCTTTCTCCTAAGTTCCACTCATGAATGTCCGGCTCTCTGCCTGACACCTTCTTCAGTTGTTTTCCTAAGATTCCAACTCAGTATGCATCCCAAAGTGAATTCCTCATCTACGCAACAAACCCACTTCTTCTGTGTTCCCGCTTTATTAATGGCATTCTCCCGGCAGCCATGTAAAATGATCTTCATCTCTCCTTCTTGCTTCCTCCAGCTGCACCAATGCATTTCCATTCTTGTGATACTTATCATCCCAGTATCTTCATTTTTATCATCTGCATCCCAGGCCCTCATACCTCTCAAGGGGTCTATTGCCAGAGCCTTCTACTATTTCTGGGTTTACACTCTCCTGTGCATTAGCTTCATCCTTCTAAAGCTCAGTCCTGTTCATGCCACTTCTCTGTCTAAAAACATTTAGTGGCCTCTCCAGTGTTTACTAAACAGGGTCTGGAATCCAAGCCTCTCCCCGGTTTTCTCCTAATGCCTTTTCACAAACACTGTGCTCCTAAAAAAACTGAACTCCTTATGTGACATATAGTTTTGTGCCTCCATGATTTGATCACACAGTTTTAGTCTCCTGAAATGTCCTTCCAAATCCCAAGACTCTATGTGCCCCAATTTGACACATTCTTTAGGACTCAAATTCCTGAGCCCCTCCCTTCCCATTATCTATGGACACCTTCTCCCCTAACCATGTGCGCATGGCAATTTGTCTGAAACCTCTCCTGAATCATTCATCTTATTTTTCTTACTCTTTGATGATAAGATTCATTTCCAATTGTTGCTCCGAATATTCAGAAGGTCGAGCTCTGTATGGGTCTTAAATGGAACAGGTATTTTATAAATACACGTTGACAGCTATGTTTTGAAAATCATATATTAATCTTTACTGAAGATCATAGCAATAAACTGTAGTTTATACAAAGAATGCTGATGACGGGTGATAAATAAAAAGATACTGAAAATGATAATTAGGAGTCAATAGTAATAGCTACTTATTGAGTGCTTATGTCCCAGCCACGAATGGGAGATGTTTGCGTACATTATCACTTTAATGCTTACAATATGTCTTTGACTTGGTATTATTATTAATTAATATTAATAATTAATTATTATTATAATTAAGTTAATAAGGAGAGATGAAGATCATTATTATTATTAACACCCATTTTAGGGATGAAAAGGCAAGGCTTAAAGACAAGGTGAATACTTAATTAGTATTCTATTCTCAGTATTCTCAGAAAAATTATAAAGTGGGATTTAGTCAAAGTCAATCTGACTTCAAACCTATGCTCTACAGACTATCCTAATTTAAATTACCTAGCACTATTTCAGAACTATCAAGATTTTATATCCCATATTATAGGATTGTTGTTATGTACCTGGCACATGTCAAGTGCTATATATATTAGCTACTACATTAGAAAAAAAATCAAAAGGTGTTCTTTAAATACACAGCAGAACATATAATTATTAGCTCAAGTATAATTTTTGAGATTTTTAAATATAACAAAGTAAAGAAGATAATTTAAAACATAAAAAAAGATTCCATAAGACAGTAAAAATAAAGTTGTTTTCTTGAGTTGAAGCAAATGCTTGGACAATTAAGCAAATATGTGGACAACCAACTCAAATTATTAGTATTTTTAATAAAGGTAATGGTCATAAGAGTGTAATAGAAGTAACAGTCATATGACCATTGTCTACCGAGCTCACTATTCATACCTGTGAAAATGCCAAGTCCCGGCAGAAAACGTTACTAACTTTGGGGAAACTCTAAGACAATGAAACGGAAAGACCCAAGACAGCAATTATCCCTAAGGAAGAACATTTAAATTGCCTCTAGATTTTTATGCGATTACCCATGAAAGTTAATAAAATTGTTTTTTATTTTACATTTAGTGTTATATTTCTTGCTTTGTATTTATTGTTTTATTTATTGCATATGTTGTCTTTGGTGGCACAGGACAAAGAGTTTACAGTCCAAATAGGATATAATATGTGAACATGAATCACAAGGCTAGCAGGTAGGAATGGCCAAGAGCTGTAGAAAGGGTGGGCTGGAAACAATTTGTGATGTTACTGATTATTCTGCAGTGTCTGTAAATCTAAAAATTAAAAGTCTGATCCCAGAGTGGCAAATACATTTCTTCGAGGTATTATACCACAATCAGTGGTCGTACTAATGAAGGTACCCTTTATCTTCTGTCAGTGTGATGAAAGATTAGAGGACTCTAATTTGTTCTCCCAAATAATGGAACTAAAAGACACCTTTTAGTACAGTCAGATGCTAACTGTAAATGAATTCTTTTTTTCGGTCACTCTTTCCTTCACCTGGAATGTATCCTTTCAGGAAACAGGCTCTCAAATGTCATGTCTGTGCCAAGAAACAGATGGTGATCATGGCTAACATTTTTAAAGCACTTCTCCATGTGTTAGGCACTTAAGATATTATGGCAATTAATTTTCAGAACATCCCTATGAGGCAAGTGTTATTATCAACTGCATTCTATCAAGTAGGGAAACCTACATTTTGGAACACTGAATAACCTGCCCAGAATTACACAGCTAGCAAATGGTTGGAGATTGGAATTCCACTCTTCTGGTTCCTGGGCGCACGGGCGTCACTCCAACCCTGGGCTGCTTCAGGGATGGATGAACTGAGAGAGAAGCCTCTGCATTCATGTTATCGCCAGCCAAGTTAACAAGCCCTGCAGGCAGTTACTGCAATAATTTCCACACTAACATGACTCTGACCATGGAACTCAATTACTCAAAAAAAAAAAAGCATGAATTATATGCCAGCAGCTATAACTTATAAAAAGAGAGAAATCCTTTCTGACCATGTGAAGTTCACAATCTACCAACATTCATATACATCTATATAGTTATTATCCATCTATATAGCTACCTCCCTTACCTACTGTTAGCAATTCTTATATTTCCACAACAAACAGAATAAGACCTTTCAAAAGGTGGTAATTACGTAGTTCAGAAGTGCAAAAAGGCAGAGCAGGGTGTGGGTGAGACTGGAAAACCGTGTGGATGAGGTGCACAGTGTAAAGGAAAGGCAGAAAGGCATGGGGAAGTGAGGGTGAAGACAAAAAGTGTGGGATCACATAGCGGGAGTGCAAGAAGGTGAGGTGAAGAAGGGAACTCCGTATCCTCTGCCTCTGGTTCAGATGTGGCAGCCAGTGCACCTCGTGGAATGCAAAGGGCCACCCTTTCTTCGGTGGGCCATTCATCATCAAATCCGTGGTTCAGAGATCAAAATTTGTGCTGCTATACAGCAGTGTAGGAAAAAGGAAAAAAAAAAAGAGAGAGAGAGAGAGAGAGAAGAAGGACCCAGGACTGAAAGAAAGTTTGTTTACCTCCCCACTCCAATTAATTTCACTATTTTTAGTTTTAATAGAACAGTACAGAATCAGCATGTAAAATGCATGGGTTTTCTTCAAAGAAATATAAACTGTGAATGAGGATTTTGCTTTGTAACTGAATGTAATGGTCTTACCATTAGATTCATGTTTCCCAAGGGTTTATTTCCAGTTGTTTCCATGTCTCCATTCTCTCTCTACCTACCGCTTTTTCTTCCTACTCCTTCATTAACCACCTCCATCTCCTCATGTCCCTGGGGTTTAGAAAACTAAATATTCTATTTTAATATTAATCAAGCAGGCTAATAATTCGTAGCAGCTATCTGCAAACTGGTAGGTGAGGTTGTAGTTGTATAATGTAAATCCATCATTGAATGATGTCTGTGTATTCAATGTTATAAATAGCCAACCTAGAAATTCCAGGAGGGAAAAAAATATACTTCAAGGAGCAAAAGGTCTGGAGTATTGAAGGAAAAAGCAACTTAATACTTTCTTCCTTTCTCCTTGTCCCTTTGTAAACTTTATAAATGAAAAAGGACTGAGGCATGAAAGGAAGAGAATATGAGGATTGTGTATCTACAAAAGAAAAATGGTGCACTCAGAGAGCTGTCTAATGTCCCAGGAGAGTATGAACACACACAATCAGAAAGATTCTTGAATGCACATATCTGTGCATATGATTTCTCATAGAATTATCTAAAATTCAATGCCTGTACTTTCAGTAAAATTGGATACATTTACTAATGCAGAAGAGTCACTGTATATAATGCCAAATACAGTGTCATTCAAAAAGTACCTATTAAAAATGTTCAGACAATAGAAACATGGACTAAGATGCTTGAGAATTGAAACCAGCACCCAGTTCTTTCACTGGCCGCGCTGAATGTCTGAGTGCTTTTTTTTTTTTTTTAGTGACAGGACAGACTTTATTGAGGCCCTCAGCCCTAGTTCAAAAATATGGAACGCTTCACGAATTTTCATGTCATCCTTGTGCAGGGGCCATGCTAATCTTCTCTGTATCGTTCCAATTTTAGTATATGTGCTGCCAAAGCGAGCCTTTTTGTATAAAGCACTAAGCCTGGAGTTTAAAGTCAGTGTGTTAAACTGTTTGCTCATAAAACATTAACTGCGTAAGTGTTAAGGACCAGTAGCCAATAACAAAGGCCTAATTCCTTAGGACAGGTATTCTAGCCACTTATCCAAATGCAATTGATTTTCCTTTGAAAAAAATCAATTGATTAATGCATTTCCTACTATGCTGTTTTAAATGAAAATAAACAACTTAACTTTATTTAATTGTTTATTTTTGCACTGAGATGAATGTCACGCAGTATTGTGAAAATGCAGTTGTTTAAATTGTGATAGGGTTAGAATCCATTTTAATGCAAAAGTTCTCCAGTCCATGGGGGAGGTAGGGAGAGACCTGGTGGGGAAGAGCCTCTGTGCTAGTAGGACTGACTATTCTTCCTTCTCTAGGTTATAATGTAGAAATTTCCATCTGTGAATGGGCCCCTCTGGCCTGCCTTTGACCATTTCACTATTCTTTTGTAGGATTCAGAAGGCTGAACATTTTTGTACCCACTTAAGAATCACTGTATAGGGAGCCTGGGTGGCTCAGTTGGTTAAGCGACTGCCTTTGGCTCAGGTCATGATCCTGGGGTCCCGAATCGCGTGCTCCCTGCTCAGCGGGGAGTCTGCTTCTCCCTCTGACCCTCCCCCCTCTCATGTGCTCTCTCTCTCTCTCATTCTCGCTCTCTCAAATGAATAAATAAAATCTTAAAAAAAAGAATCACTGTATATTCTGCTCGTTAAAAAATATTCACCTTAATTCTAAACTGCACGTTTTTAGAGGAATGTTTTCATCACTGCTCTTGATGGTGGAAGGATTGTGTGTGTGTGTGTGCACGCGCGTGTGCGTGTGTGTGCGTGCATGTGTGTGTGTGTGCGTGTGTGCTGAGGACAGTGTTGCCCAATCTCCAGTGAAATGTTCCCATGAAGTCAGTCGGCGTTTCTGTAGTACTGCAGCGCACTATGGCAATAACTAGGAAGCTCTAGGGTATATGATCAGAAGTGTCCTGAGCATTACAAATCCCCTGTGTATCAGATGATGTTGTACATATGTAAATTAATTAGATGTCACACAAAGAAAACCCATCCCATTTGGGATAAGAGTTGTGGCTGATCTTTGAAAAGTAGGGAAGCACCGAGTCTCACCCTGTCTTAAAATCGTAGCTGCCAAAGTGTGTATTCCGTTAGGCTGCACATCTATCTGTCTTATTCTGCCCAAGAGAAAGGGACTCCTTTCAAGTCCCCAAGGAAACCAGGGTATCAAACGATCTAAATGAACGCTTCAGGCAGAAGAGAAACAAAATACTGTCCTTTCCTTCAAGCCCTGCTTGGTCCTCCTCCCTCTCCGCTAATAAACAGCAGAGGATTATCTTTGACAAAGTTGAGCAAAAGCACGTCGCAGCGTGTGTTTGAAAAGAAGAGGAAGCCAAGCAATAAGGTGCAAGGGGGGGGGCGGGTGCCCAGGGGAGTTAGTGGAAGTTACTTGCAAATAGCACGATTTTCTAACCCGCGCCAGGCAAGGTGGGTGTGGCAGGGAGAGGGGCAGGCGTCCTAACCAAGACAGACAAGGACCCCGCTGCTACTCACGCGTCTCCGCCGGCCTCCGAGTCGCTGTCCGAGTCGCCGTCCGAGGCCCGCTCCTCGCCGATGTGCGGCAGGGTGAAGAAGAGAGTCTTGGGGCCAGGCCCAGGGGGCATCCAAGCGCCGGGCTCTCGCTCTCCGGGGCCAGACCGGCGGGTGTTCCGTGGGCTCGCGGCTAGACTGCTGCTGCCCGCGGCGCCCCAGACCGACGACCGCGCAGCGCAGACCCCGCCAGCGCCCGCGGACCGCCGCGCCGAGGCCACCAGGTGGGCGGGGGAGCCCGCGGCGCTGCAGCCCCCGCTGGAGGGGCTCGGGGGCAGGGGCTGAAGTCTGGCTGCTCTCGGACTACCGGGCAGCGAGAGGGGGCTCCCTACTGCTTCCGCCGCGCGGCTCGCCACCGAGACCCTGGGGTAAGAGGCGGTGAGCGCAGGATGGAGCGAGGCGGGCGGTCCCCCTGAGGCGGAGGGGGAGTCGGGCGCCCGCGCGGGCAAAGGGGTCAGGGTCGGGGCGGTGCGGAGCGAGGCGCCCGCGCTGGACCCCTCCCGCCGTGCGTTGGCGGCGCCTCCCGAGGCGCTGGAGGCGGCGGCCGGCGAGGTCTTGAAGATTTTGGCAAAGAGAGACCCCAGGTCTAACACAGCGACCTTCATGTCCCAGTCTTGGAGATGCTGTTCCCGCTGCTGCCTGAACCTCCAGACCACAGGAAGCCGGGCTGCTGGGCTCCATCCAGCGCCGCCCTCAGGGATCCGGCCCCGGCTGCCCCGGGCTGGGGCGGGCGTCCTGGGGTCCCCGCCCGCCGCGGAGCCTGGGGGGCCTCGGGCGCGCTCTCCCGGCGGCGGAGGAACCTGTCGCGGCGCTCAGCCCCGCGCAGCTTTAGACTGACCTGCCCCGACAGCCTGGTCGGCCCGCGGCGTGCTGCGACTGCCAGCGGCGGCCGCCCTCTGTGGGCAGCAGCCCCTTCTCTGCCTAGTGCTTCGAGACCCGCGAGGGCAAAGGTCTGGGAGCCCACGGAGGCGACGTGCCGCAGCCGCCCAGCGCCACCGCGGGCTGGAGGGTGACTTGGGCCTCAGCCCGCCGGAAATGCCCCAAAGGGCCCCCGGGGCCGCGCAGGCCGTTGCTAAGCTAAACAAAAACCCTGCTCAGCTCATTGCTAATTGGGCCCCAGACTGCAGCTTGGGGCTGTGTCCACAACGCAGACACTCGCTCCCCTCCTTGATTCGTGCCTTAAAGGAACACTGCAATTTCGCCATCAGCCTGAGAAAGATAACCCTGGCTCCAAACGATCCTGTCTAAAGATTTGGCAAGACCAAATGGGCCAGGGTCAGGAAGATGGCCAGCCCTCTGATATGAGCGAAGGTTAGTACAAACGTGTATTCAGGCGGGTGGACTTGAAACAAGCAGTGCCCACTCCTGCCGCCTCAGGGCCAAGTTCAACGTGTGTCACTAAAGATGACATAGGGGAATAACAGCAAGGTGCCTCACCCAAGAACTTGGAAAGAAGATTGGGCTCTGATAGTAAAATCCATATTCAATGCATGCGTTCAAAATACCTATCGGAGTGAACCAAGAGATTTTATAACTAAAATGTTTGAGAACTCAAACTATAATCAGACTGGATACAAACTCAAAGGCAGAAATGAAAGGTAAGAGTTCTTTATTAAGTGGAATAAATTGCATTTTGCTAAATCTGAAGAAATATGTGTGAAAGATAAAGTTATGAGTGTGAATATATCTGCAGTAGCGTGGGGTCAATTTTGAGCAAGATTTAAAAATAAGATATTGACAGGGTTTATCCACTAATGTTTAGTAGAGAGTTTCTGTTTTGATCTCAGGAGGTTTATTTTCTGATTTGAGGTGAGGAAAGGAAATGAATAAGGCTGGTAATGAATAAATTAACTGATATTCATGACTATATACGTTAGTCTTTTGGAAGTTATCAAACTGGATTCTGAGCCATGGGACATTTCTATAATAATGCCAAGCTTTTCATTGGCTTGAAGACAGCCAACCTATCATGAGCCCTTTTCTGCAACCAACTACTATGATCAAACATGCACTGGGCACTTTTCTACTTCAAGATTGTGTTAAGCATCAAGATACAAAAAAGGAGAAGTTCTCTCCCCACAATGTGGAATAATCAGCTTTATATCACAAGCTAAGTGTCAGGTGAGTGCCCCAGAAAACAAGGCAGGCGCTGCAGTCAGCATGAGCTTGAGGAAAGAAGAACACATGTGTGCTTAAGAGAAGTAAGAGACAAGGTAGAGAAGGGTCAGATTATAAAAGGCCTCGGATGCTGGGAAGGGAAAGAGCATGCAGTTGCCCCATATAAAGCACCAGCACACTGGTGAGGAATCAAAATGAGGGTAAGAGTGGGGAAAAGTAACAGACACATCTAGAAACTAGAGGCCAAGGTCTCAGGGTCAAATCAAGCAAGCGGCACCAACTCTGTCATCATGCAAGGAAACCGGAAGCAGCGTGGTTTTGGACCATCACCATTTCTCATATTCTCATTGTTTCTCTTTTGTAGCAACTCATCAGGTGGCCTCAGAGGTGTGTGAAGTGCATTAGAACATTGAACTGTTTCTGTTTTCATACAGCACTCATTCAAGATTGTAAATCTGTTTCCTAAAGATTTCTGTTTATTTCATAAGGATCTTGATTCTAGTTCATCGAACAATTGAATCCTCAAGGCAAGTAGAGATCATTTCTAGAGCATGCACTTTCAGTGTTTAAGCTGCTAATTGTCTGATTGAGTCTGAACATATGTACTATAACTTGAAGGGGCAGGCAGCAAAGGGGAACCACTGCTGAGTGAAGCCTGGTTCAAGTCACCCAGTTCCTGGGGAGCAGTACTTGTTGGCTACCACATCTCAGACAGATTTTTCAGACTCGAAAAATCTGATCAGCTCAAGACCTTCAAAGCTGACCGGCCTCTTAGGATGGAGCTCCACTAATCTGACTCAAAAAATACTGGTGTATAAGCCCATCTTCAAATGTGTTAACTAATAATTACACAACTGCAGAGCTGTTTTCTGCTCTTTTCCTTTGAAGGAATTCCCGTTAAGACCAAATTAAGTTGGAAGATTGTTAGGTGAGCCGAGAATGAAATCAAGGGGAGTAAGTCATATATATACATATATATGTTTTATACCAAAGGGACAAGTAACCATAGAGCCAACACCCTCTCCCTCTTAGAAGGGCAACCTTATTTTAGATATTTCTATGCTTCCATCACTAACCACTTCCTTTCTATGCACATGCTTTTCTTTAAGTATGTACTGTTAATAAGACTACAGAAAAGCTCACGTTCTTCCAGAACCCGGCTTGAAAGTATTCTACCTCTAAGATGTGTCTACATGTATTCTATCTGTCTTGGTTGAATCATGTCCCCCAAAAAGATATGCTGAAGTCCTAACCCTCAGTTTGTGTGAAAGTGGCCTATTTCTAATGAAAAGAAAGCTGGTGTAGCTTTTATAATATCTGACCAAGTAAATTTTAAACCAAGAAGCATTGGTTGGCTCAGTCAGTGTCCGGCTCTTGGTTTCGGCTCAGGCTGTGGTCTCGGGGTCCTGAGATCGAGCCCCACGTTGGGCTCCGCACTCAGCAGAGAGTCTGCTGGAGGTTCTCTCTCTCTCTCTCTCTCTCTCACTCCCTTTGCCCTCCCCCCCACTCTCTCTCAAGTAAATAAATAAATCTTTAAAAATAAAAAGACTTAGAAACAGATAAACTGAGTATTTCCACAGCAGAGACCTGGTAATATTAATTATTTGACAAATTACCCAGGTACAGTATCCTTTTCCAGTTTGTGCTGCTTTTGAACAAAGGGCAAACTTTACAGACGTAGTATCCATTTCAGCAAATTAAGCCATCTGTGTTGATAAAAACCTTATTTCAAAATCAAGAATTACTGAACTCCATTGAATTTATGACGTTATTGATCGTAAGACACTCTTCTGAATTTGTTTTCCCCTCAGCATTGTCAAGGCCTGTTTTTTTCACACAATATTTTCTATGCCATTAAAACATAGATGAAACAGTTTTTTAAATATGAATCCAGTAAAGTATAAAAAGCTATTGGTGCTGGGCTCCTTTTCTTTTTTTTTTTTTTAGATTTTATTTATTTATTTATTTGAGAGGGAGAGAGCAGAGTGAGTGAGAGAGAGAGAGAGAGAGAGAGAGAGCATGATGGGGGGAGGGGGAGAGACAGAGGGAGAGGGATGGGTCCTAATTCAATATGGCTGCCATGCGAGGATGAAGAGAGAAATTTGAAGACAAACACAGAGGGAGAACATCAGGTATTGACAGAGGCAAAGATTGGAATGATGCATCTGCAAGCCAAGGACTGTCAGGGATTGACAGCCATCACCAGAAGCTAGGAAGAGGCAAGGGAGATTCTTCCCTATAGGTCTCAGAGAGAGCATGGCCCTACCAGCACCTGATACCAACTTGTAGTTTCCAGAATAATGACAGAATAAATTTCTGTTGTTTCAAGCCACCCAGTTTGTGGCACTTTGTTATTGGCAGCCCTAGGAAACTAATACACTATCTGGGTATTAATTAATTATTGGGGTACTTCGTGATCATGTTATCTGGCTGGTATGTTTATGAACATCTTCAGTGGGGTATTTGTTCTATAAAGCTGGATACAAATTAAAATCATAATTGTCTCAAATCTATACAGAGAATGGCAGGAGTCATATAAAGGACAGGGGAAGAAGTATCATTGTCAGTGAAAGCAGTGGATAAAACATTCTGGCCACCCAGCCTCCTGAGGAAGGCACAATGAATGAATGATTGATCCTTTTGTTTGAAGGTCCTTTCAAAATGGCCTATAATTGGAAACATGGTAAACAATTCCTAGCAAGATGCTAGGTCTTTTACAGCCATTGTTCATCCATCAACAGTCTTTCAGACAGATGTTAGATGTCACCAGGCTTCTCTGTTAATTACCATTCTCATAACATGAGCCCCAGGTGATGTACCACAAAGATCTAGCTCAGGTGTAGTCATGAAAGCAAGTGCAGTAAACCATTGCTTCTAATTGTGGCAGTGTTGATTTTTCAGAAGACTATGTCAAAGCAGTGTTTTCTGTGATAAAACTCTTCTGATTATATTGGCTAATTAACAATTAGATGCATTGGTTTTCTGATGTGTATAATAATGCTTGGCTGCATCACCGAAAAAATATTAGGAAGTTATGACCAGGTTGCTATGAAGAAATGTCATGTTTTGGAAACCTGAAACTTAAAACAAATAACCTGAGTGATTAATCTGTTTAAGAATTTAAACTGCCTTACTTAGCATGACACCAAGGCCAAAACCTGCAAGGAAAAAGACTATCAGATTTGATTATAAAAATATTTAAAGCTTCTTGGGGCGCCTGGGTGGGTCAGTCAGTTGAGCTTCAGACTCGTGGTATTGGCTCAGGGTGGTGAGATGGAGCCTCTCCTCTGACTCAGGCTCCATGCACTCAATGGGGAGTGCTTCTCTCTCTCTCCCTTTGCCCCTCCCTGCTCCTCAAATGAATAAATAAATCTTTTAAAAAAATTTAAAGCTTCTTAATGGTAAAAGACATTTGTTGATGCAACAAATATTTACAAACAACCACAATAGAGACACTACAGTATGCTAGACTCTGGAGCGAGACTTGCTAGGTTCATGTCGTCTCTGCCATGGATCAACACCCATGCCTCCTACTGTCGCTTAGTTTCCTCAACTATAATCCAGGGATGCAAATAATTCCTATCTGAAATAATGGTACTTTCTGAGAGTTATATTAATTAATACATGCTTGGCAACTGAAACAGAGCCTCGCACAGGGTAAGCTCTCAGTAGATGCTAGTTTTTATTATATACCATTTTATTATATGATATTAATGTTTATCATATAATTTCAGGTTACAGTGAATAACCACGAGGGAAGATCTGAAGGGAAATTATAGCTACACTTACTTCCAGATGTATTTACCTTTGTACTATTTGAATATTTTCAGTAAGTTCATATCATTTGTTTTCTATGAAAAACACAATAAAAGAAAAGTAAACTAGATCAAAACCTCAAAAGCCTCAGGAAAATTGTCTTTGTATTTGATTAAGGGTTCTGGATTCTACCAAAGGAAAAATATTAAAACAAGAACAACTTTAAACTGATCAAAAAGCAGCTTTAGATCACAGAGATTATGAATAGATCATGACTAAATCTACTGGGCATCGGAACAGATACACAGAGAGGAGAGAGCAGACTGATGAGGCTTTTAAGGTGCTCTCATCAGTCGTGGCTCAAGCACTCACAGAGCAAGAAGCCCGCAATAAACTGGTTCTGAGAATGGTGCCCTAAATTGCCAACATCATCACAGATGCCAAATCTTTTTTTTCTTTTTTGTTCACACATTGTCACAGTGTTTTATGTATGGTGTGTTTCCTGGTGGTCCCAAGATGGCACCCTCAGCACCAACCATCTTTCCCTCAAAGCAAAAAGAAGGTACAGCCCACTCCTTCATTCTCCCTCTCATTAAGGAACAAAATACTTTCCAGAAGCTTCTCAAGCTGACCAATTGAGTCT